ATTCAAACTTCTTTATTCAAACAGACTCAGCAAATACGATTAATCTGAAGTTGTTTCCAACATATCGAAATCCACCATCAGTATATTATTATCAAGTACCAATTTGTACCGTTAATCTTAAAGCATTAATGGATGGTAATTGGGATATCACCATGAAAAAGGTTGCACAATGTCTTATATATATTTGTTCGCAATTTTAAGTTAATTTGAGTAAAAAAAAATCTAAATTTTTTTGTGCATTTTTCAAAAAATGTGGCGAAATCTATTAATGATATTCATTATATTAAAAAGATTGCTGAATTAGCTGATGTAGATTATGAACTTGCTCGAAAGTGCATGGAACACCTTTTTAAGTTACTTTATTATTGGTATACTTTTAAGTAATATGTTATCATCCTAACACATAACACACTTTAACAGATACTATAGATGTATTATTATAGTTGATACCTTTCAGGTGATTAAGTATATGTGACATATATAATGCAGTAATGACAGAAATAAAGGTTCTAACTTTTTTGTGACACATTAGTTTTCAAATGTATATGCTGTGAAGCCTGATATTACAAGAGTAATCGAAGACGAAACTGTTCAAAGTGAATGTCTGTCTTATGTGAGAAAACGAGGTAAAAAATTATTTGAAAAGTCTTTAAAACAATTTATGAAAAAAAAAATGTTTCAACGATTGTTAAATTTTAGGCAAAATACCACTACCATCTGCAAAGTTATTTTCACTTTACTGTCAATTGAAGCATGGATTAGAGTTAGTACTTCTATCCGTTTTCTATCCGTTTTTTATATAAAAAATTCGGATATATTTGGATATATTATATGAAAATTTCATAAAAATATATTCGAATACAATCTCTAGCATGGATCAACTCTTAAAGAATGGATTCAAGAAACTAAATAAGTACATAATTGGATATTGACATTCGGTAAAATTTTACTTTTATTATTTTATTTTGATTTTGTGACATTCAAAAAAATGACATTGGTATTTAATTTACACATTTGAATAGGAATATAGGTCCAAATAGCATATTATATGAAATTTAAAATTAGTTTTAATAAAATTTTAAAGTTAAATATTGACAACTATTTAATCTAACTTGATAATTTTTTTTATTTAATTCTATTGATCTTAAATAAAAAATTTCATCAAATTTGATCAGTTGGTTGTCGAGATAAAAGTTTTACCGTAGAAAAAATTTGACGCAGCCTCTATTTTAATAGTGATAGACATTTTAATAATTCAGAATTATGAAGGTACCTTGACAATCAAATTTTTGTTACTGTTACACAAAATCGTGTTTTTCCGACGAAAAATAATTGAGATCTTTTTATAACCACTTTTTTTTTTGTTTATATTTTTGTTTATTACTCTTTTCTTTTCCACATTTTTTACTTAAGATAAAGTTTTTTGTTATATGTTTCGAAAAAGTCTTTTTCTGTTTATCTTTTTTATACTTTTTTACTTTTATTACAGAGATTTAAAGAATAAAACATATCTAGAACCTGTTATACTGAAGTCAGAAGGCCGATTGTGATATTTCGACAAAAACGCGTAAAAGAAAGCTGAAAGATATAGCGTAAATTTAAAAGGTAAGTATTATTTTGCTTTAGTATAAATCTAACTAATGTTTATTTTATCTACATATTTTCACCTTCAGAAATAATTATTATAAAAATTTAGGAAAAAGAAAAATACGAAATATGAAAATTACTACTCCAAAGTTTCGATAAAATACGAAGAAAACAGACGATTGCAAGAGAGATATAGTGCAATTTTAAAGGTTAGCATTTCAAAAATCCTAACGAGAAGGAGTCCCACCGAGAGATTGTGGTGAGTATTATGCAACATTCCACATGTCATCGG